CTGTATGTGTCACGCAACAATTGCCGGTCATGGCTGCGAAACACATTGTAAACAGAGGGCGATGAGCACTTTCCATCCTTCAAAACTCGTTCCGAAAAGCCATGGCCGTCTACCGTGTACGCGTATTTCATGCGAGCCTGAACTCATCACACTTGACTCGCTTGACATTGTACTGGCAAGTTCGGTACAAGCATTTGCCTATATGGCGAGCTTGCCTGGGGGTAAGGCGAGCTGGACACGATGTAGGTCCTTTGCATATTTTAGGTTTGCAACCCGGAGTCTAATCATTCACAAATGGATGTACCTAGAGTATCCTTCTGACCCGAATCAAAAATGGGTCATTGACCAACCAATATGTTGGGCGATGACCAACCATTGTTTAAGGGTCATGGAGACTCCAGGTATTAATTCTTTGCCAAAGCACGCCTGGGTTTGATCCAACATGTCCAATTTTCGCTTGCTGCCTTGGCCGGGCTTGTTGGAAAAGCCTGCACAAAGGGCCGGGGGTGTTCGGGCTCAGGAACGTTCATGCCTTGCGGCACAACTACTTCATGCTGAACACGCAGATGGTAGAGGCGAGGTGCGGCGAAGTGGTTTCTGCTTGGTTGGGAGCCCGCTGGTTTGGAGTTTGGGGCGGTAAACCTACCCTCAAATTACAGGGGTTCAAATACAAATCCGAACCGACAGAATCATTGAACTTCTGAAACACACATGGGCTCCATCAAGTGTACCAAGGGAGCCAAAAGCGTATGTCAACCTGGAGTCTCCATGACTCGAATCAATAAGTTTGCAAATGTGGATCCCCTGTCTTTGGGGAAACATAACAACCTCTTCATTGTTTTTTTGCTTGGTTAGGAGAGTCCAAAAACATACGACTGACCGACCAACCGACCCACGCGTCGTGTGGAGGACGTGTGCCAGCTGATCGGGCATCGGCAAAAGGCCCCTGGCCGGAGCCGGCTTTGCCAACATGGCGCCGCGGCTGAAGCGGTTCACGTCCGTTGAGTGGATGGGTGTTTTCTTGGTATGCTTTTTTGGCTGTTTTTTGGGGTTGGTTTTGGTTGGTTTGGTTGGTTTTGTTGGTGTTGGTTGTTTTGGTTGGTTTTGGTTGGTTTTGTTGGTTTTGGTTGGTTTTGGCTGGTTTGGGTTGGTTTTGGTTGCTTTTGTTGGGTTTGGTTGGTTTTGGTTAGTTTGGTTGGTTTGTTGGTGTTTTTTTGTGTTGGTTGTTTTGGTTGGTTTTGGTTGGTTTTGTTGGTTTTGGTTGGTTTTGGTTGGTTTTAGTTGGTTTTGGTTGGCTTTGGTTGGCTTTGGTTGGCTTTGTTGGTGTTGGTTGGTTTTGGTTGGTTTTGGTTGGTTTTGGTTGGTTTTGGTTGGTTTTGGTTGGCTGGTTGGTTGGCTGGTTGGTTGGGATCTGGAACCTCCAATTTGCTGAAAGGAAGATGTGATTTCAATATTCCCCTGCTGGCTTTAAAGAGCAGCGATTTCACCACCGGACATATTTTTGAATTCCTGATAAGGAAGCCAAGCCGGATTGTATGTTGTTTTTTCCCGGACGCCCTTTTTGGCAGCCAGGATCCCTTGGTACCTTAAGAAAGTGAATGTGCCTTGTTAGAAGGCTCCACGGAACTTTTGGACATGAATGTGTCAGGGGAGGGCGAGGCGTTGGCTTATGGTGGGATTGAGCTTGGCAACATGTTGAGTCCTTGAGATTTGCATTTCACCGGCAGCTTGAATTTGTTGTTCACGAGAGCCATCGCTCAAGTACTCCGGGGGAGCGAAGCTCCATTTCGGGGTCTGGGTCTCTCCCAAAAACACGGAGGGCTAGCAACAAGTGGGGACGAAGCAAATACGAACAATAGCAGACTTACATGAAGTCCCATATTCCCCAATATTCATGAATTATTAAATCCGAAGCTGTCGCTAGCCGTCGCACCGAGGCGATGGGAACGTGTTCAGCTTTTTGTCTCCGCCATCGTTTGTGAAGTCGTAGCCTTCGATAGGTTTGACCCGCAATGGCCACGTCATTCGACTGACTTCCCTCAGGGCAGCGAGCCAGTTTTGTGCTGCTTCCTTTTGGTTTCCGCGCAGGGAACCACAAGGGGTCCCAAAAGGAAAAGAAACCCAACTGGGGCATAACTTATGGCGATCCCATTTTGGGGTGGATGAACATCTATTTGCCACCGATTTTGATGTTCACCAGCGGTTTTGACCCGCCAAATCACACAATGCGGGGCGTCAGACAGTTTGAGCGTTTCTTATCAATTGCCACCAGGCTGCGAGCACGGCTCTGCAACAATTAGTGCTCAGTCAGGCACTGTCAGAGGTGTCTTCCTAAGCCCTTGTTGATGACTTGTTGAAAGATGCCAGCAGCTTCTTCTAAGGTGATGGCGGTGTTGTACATGGCGCCATTCCACTTTACTTGGGTGTATTGAATTGGGCTTCATGTCAGCCTGGGAGAGCACAATCAACCTTAAGTTTCCTTTGCGTTGCGGGCGATTGCTTTTTTGCAGTGAACTTTTTGTGACTGGCTTTATGCCGGGATTTGCGATATGAAGCAAACGGGCAGAATTGCATTCAGAAAGCAGCGTGAGTCGGGTTCGCACTGTTCAACTGACATCATGAACAAGATAATGCAACGTCTGATCAATCTGCTATGCTTCTTGCGGCTATATTTTGGAATTATGCCCGCATGCGAGACTTAAGCAAACAATTTGCCCTTTGGGGTTCTTGTCCATTATTCTCTCCCAGGAAAAGGTTGCCTGTTTACAGCGGACTAAGTTTGGCCCTGAAAAGTGGTGGACATACATCCCAAGAAGATGTCCACCCAAAGGTCCCCAATCAGTGCTGAACCTGAACGCCTCTAAATTCCACTCCTTTAACGGGAGACCATTGGCCGTTCGAAGGGCATTGTTCAGGCCAGTCGAAGGCAGCGCAGAAGTCGCGCCAAATCGGGGCCCAGTTAAGTAGTTAACGCACAGGCCTGTGCATGCGAAAGCCTCGAAGCGGCCCGGCGCCAATCACTCTTACTGGCTTACCGATCTGCAGTGTGCCCTTGGGCAATGTAAAGAGTGCAGATCCCTACATTTGGGCGGTTTGCCACCTTGTGAGTGCCCGAAGCTTTCTCCTATGCCATGTTTCTTACCCCTTGTTCTCGGGTGGTACTCGGGCATCGACACAGCATGGACAGCTTAAGCGTGTGCTCTTTGCATGGGTAGAAGCCCTCTTTTCTCGTTGGAAAGGCTGCTAGGTTGCCCTTTGCGGCGTTGTTCCTGTTGGATCACGCCTTCTTCACGTTGGTTGTTTGGCTGCTTGGTGTTTGATTATTTGATCTTCTTGTTTTCTTTGTTTCCCATTGGTCGGCTGCTTTTTAACTGGTTAGTTGGTTGCTTGGTTGGTGGGTTGGTTTGTGCCACCCTGCGCTTTCGAGGAACACGCACAAGTCATGCAGATTGGGTGTCCATGGTCCGATTGTACTTGAACCCGGCCCTGCCCCCTCCGATTATAAACCGGGGATGGTCCTCTCATGGTCAACCAATTACACGGGTTTGGGATTCGGTGTGTCCGAAGGAGTGGAAATTCACCATGGTTTTGGGGTCGAGTGTGGTTGATTTGCTTCTTCAATTTAAGGCATCCGCATGGTTTCCGCCTCCTTTTGCAAGGCCCACTTTCTCCCCTTCCAGAGTCGGAGCAACCTCAAGTAAGCCTTACACATGCCTATAGCTACACAAAATGTCATCGATCGGGAGCAACTCAATGGACTGATTTGGTGGGAGTTGTTGGGCCGCCAGGCGCAGTCGACCAGGCTCCCTTCGGGCTCGGCCAATCATGAAAGCCACCAGATGTTCAAGATGTCGAGTCCAAGTCTGCAATTTCTTGGCCGAGGCCCGTGCAAAGTTGTGTCTGGAAAACAGGCTGATCCTCTTCCGGCTGATCTCAAAATCAAGCTCCCCTCCAAATTGGTGGTGTCCCGTTTCTTCCCCTCTAACGCCACCCAAAAAAAAAGGTACAGAAAAAAGAAACACAAACAGACGACCCTCCCTGCAGGAAGAATAGTCAGCCTTGCAGCCGCGGCTGTTCTGCATGGACTCCGGCCGAAACATCCGCCGTAACAAAATAACAAAGCGCGCAGGTGATTAAAAATGGGTGTCTTTTTTAGGGAACCCCCTTAACATGGCAACGGTTTCATGTTGCTTTCCCTTTAAAGCCAACCAAAAAGGGGATCCCTCGGTTCATCATGTCAACGCTATGTTCCATCCATCAAGCAAGGCTTTAACACTGCAAAATTGCACGCCACCATACACACAGAGATGCACATGCACATGCATATTCTGTCGTATGCCGTATATCTATATTATATATAATACACACACACACACTGCCGCATGTCGACACTATGTTGGGTCTGATGTTATTATCGAAGCTGGTGCATTATAGTGCTTTCCGGGATCGGAGGGCGTTGGCATGCAGCAATATGTGGTATTGCCACTACATGAGGTGGTTGCCAGGCCATCCTCATGTACATACCCTGCTACAATGGTTTATGTAATTATATGCGTATGTGTATATATATATATATGCATATGTATCAGTATACGTTGCTGACGAGGCTGTTCCCAGCGCTGTTGCATGACAATAGCGGGTATTGCAAGAGCACATCCCTTAGGGCGTGGTAGCAAAAGTCGTCACGTGCGAGTTGAAGCTGAGGATAGTGATCCTACACCAGAGCATTTTTGGGCAAATTAGAAGGAGCTCACAGATTCGAGGGGATCCCCACTTTCCGCGGGAGTTATTGTCATTTGTCATTGTCATTTGTCATTGTCATTTGTCATTTGTCCGTGCGATGAGCGCTACATCGACGTTTGATGTACACCATACGGCGGCTCAAGATCACATGCTTGTCGAGAGGTTTTCTTGTGTTTTGCAGTCTCGCGTTGTGTGGCTGGATTGTTTCGTCTTCAGCACTGTGCTGCCATCCATTTGACCTGCCTTAGCACATGCAGGCTCCCATCATGAAGAAGCCAGCAGCGGCGCCACTTGGTACGATTTGCTCACAACTTAAACAGAATGCTGATGGTTTGGTTCACACAGGCAAAGATAAAGCACGTTGACACGTCGTTCAGGAAGTGTGTCTTTATTGTAAGAGATGTTCATTGAGTTCTTTGTCTAAAGCCAAACAACAAGCTATGTTGCTGTCCACGGTAGACAACGCCCTAATGCGAAACGATCTGTGCATACCGATTTCTCAATTTGTCAGCGTGCCCGTCGAAACTTGTAGCAATGTGTCAAGCATCGACGGGATCTGGAAGTAGCTACTACTTCGATGTATGCAGAGGCAATGATATTTCTACAAAGGATACAATGCCAAGATGGAAGTTTCTGGACCCCTTCTTGTTTGGTTTCTGAAGGACACCACAAGAACACCACATTTTGGGGGATCCATTTTGAGAAACACGTCCACATGTGCGCAGAGTTCCGGGAGTACCCATGCATCAAATTGTCATGTCAATGTGTTTTCGCTTCACGCTGACATCCTTCCAAAGTCTATCGGCTGAGAGGAAATGAGCCACAACCGCACTTACCCTCCATGCCTTGAGTAAAGCGAGCCTCGAGACAAGCCTCTTTTTTGCTTCTCGCCCGCCTTTTGCCACGAAGGAAAGGCAAAGCGAAGGCCAAAGCAAAGGCAGCGGCTGAGGCGAATGCAAGGGGGCAGACCCGCGCCAGTGTGCGGGGTGGTGTCCTTTCTCAGCTTGATGATTGAGGAGTGATGACATCGCTGCTTTTTGATGCAAAGCGTCAATCAATTTGCTCGCCCTGCGCAAGGCTTGATTTCAACATTGCTCACTGACCTTGGCAGAGGGAGCAGTCATTGTTTTCCAGTGTTTCACCGTTCATTGTGTTGAAATGAGTTCGATCAAACCTCCCCCTTTGATTGTTCATGCCAAGCAGCATGGCTTTCTCCAACAGGATTCAAATGTTGGCAACTTGATCGGACGCAGTTGGATGATTATTGTTTCTAGGTCTGCCAGTAGTGCCCTACTAAAATAGACTACAGCAATCCAAACGGGTACCCTTATTCCAAGCTCTTTACTGGAGGACCTGGTTTTCTAATTAGGGGTTCTTTTTAGGTTAGTTTGGTTAAAAATAAATGTTGTTCCATTTACCAGGGCCATCTATTTTTCCAAAAGGCCACCTATGTTTCTGCCTTCACCTGGGCTTCTTTGTGTCGTTGGACCTGTCGGAGGCACCAGAGGAGGAGCCGCAAGAGGAAGCTGCAGCAGAGGAGGAGGAGGAGGAGGAGCCTCAAGAGGAAGAGGCCCAGGGGAAGGTTAACCCGCCCTCGGGTCTCCTCCAAAACAGTTGTATGTTTTTGAGTACAACAACCTAGAGTCTTCATGACCTTTACAAATGGGTCATTGACCCCATTATGTTGAGTAATGATTCCATTGTTTAAGGGTCATGGAGACTCCAGGTGTTTGAATTCAACTACATGGCTGTGGGTCAACACCAATGGTACCATTTTGGGGTAGGCGCACCACCCACGTTAGTCTATTGAAATCGCTACGCGATCCGCCGACGCCGGTGGACAGTCCCCTATTAATAAACTGGGGCTGATGTCACGTGGAGCTCTTAACGCGTGGAAGAAGAACAAACAACGCCGCTCTGACGTCGGCTACAGGGTGCCTTGAATTTTGGGTAGGGAACAAGACCTCTTTTTTTTGCCTAGGTCAAGTGGGGCTCTTAGCGCGTGGAAGGAGAACGCAAACAACGCCCCTCTGACGTCGGCTGCAGGGTGCCTCGAATTTGGGGCCGGGAGCAAGACGTCCTTTTGCCTAGGTCACATCGGTCTCTTAACGTGTTGAGGGGAGAACAAACAACGCCCCTCTGACGTCGGCCGCAGAGTGCCTCGAATTTGGGGTAAGGAAAAAGACGATTACAAACAGCGACGTCTTTTTGCCTAGGTCACATGGGTCTCTTAGCGCCTGGAAGGAGAACAAGCAACTAGGTCACATGCGGCTCTTAACACGTGGAAGGAGAGGGTGCCTTGAGTTCGGGGTAAGGAAAAAGACGTCTTTTTGCCTAGGTCATATGGGGCTCTTAACAAGTGAAAAGAGACCAAACGACGCCAAACGACGCACCTCTAAGGTCGGAGGCAGGGCACCTCAAGTTTGGGGTCAGGAAAAAGACGTCTTTTTGCCTAGGTCACATGGGTCTCTTAACGCCTGGAAGGAAAACAAGCAACGCCCCAGTGGAAGGAGAACAAACAACGCCCCTCTGAGGTGCCAAAGAAAAAGACGTTTTTTTGCTTGGGTCAATATGGGGCTCTTAACACGTGAAAAGAGACCAAACGACGCCCCTCTGAGGCCGGCTGCAGGGTACCTCAAGTTTGGGGTCGGGAAAAAGACGTCCGAAGACGTCTTTTACCTTGGTCACATGGGTCTCTTAACGCCTCACTGTGGAAGGAGAACAACCATCGCCCCTCTGAGGTGCCTTGAATTTGGGGTAAGGAAAAAGACGTTTTTTTGCCTAGGTCACACTGGGCTCGTAACACGTGGAAGGAGAGGGTGCCTTGAATTTGGGGTAAGGAAGAAGATGTTTTTTGCCTCGGTCACATTGGTCTTTTAACAAGAATGCAACCAATGCCGCTTTGACTTCGGCAGCAGGGCTGAAAGCAAGGCCCCATTTTTTTGTAAGTACAACAAGGCCTTCTTGGCACTTTCCTGTTTTTCATGTCCCAGTGCTGAGGAAATGCAAGGGATGCAACCACACAACTTACAGGAACAGACCCAATCTTCGCGCTCAAGATTTTAAGACTTTCAGACACGCAACATTGACCAAACACAGAAAATACCTTAGATGTGGGGAATCCTGGGAATGCAGCCGGCTAGCCACAAAAAGTGCAACAAACTAGGGCTTTTAGATATTTCCCAAGAGCAACCATCAAAAACCGATACTAGCAACCCCCCTCAAATACCCCAATGCAGGGGATGTTTCGCAGTAACTGCTCCGTACAGGTGAGGAATTGCAAAAAACACTAATTTTTGCACATTTCAACAATTCCTCAAAGTATCACTGCACTTGTCCCCACCCAAACCCCTAGCAGGCCAATTCCAACATCGCTTGAAACATCAAAACACCACTAGTATCTGCAACAACAAAGGACAAATTCATGGCAACAAGGCGATCCTGATGATGCTGGGGATGCAGATCCTGTGCCTCCGGGGAACCCGTCCCCTCCCCTGGAGACCTCGGCGAAACGCATATTTTTAGCACGAAAGAGCTTTGATAAGAGATTCCGAAGCAAGACCAGTTGCGGACTGCCATCTACACGCTCGACTGGCGTCGGCGGATTTGACTGGGGATTGGGATGTTCACTGGGGGTACGGGATTTTGACTCATGGCTATTTGAATTAGAATCTAAAAGTATATGTGTTTTGTGTACGCGGGCCGAAGAACCGCCGGTGTTGGGTTTCCTTTTGAAGTCGTCTTCTTTTGGGGAGATCTCTCTCTCGCAAGATGTCCTTCTTTGATTGTCCGGGGAGACGTCGGGAGCCCCCCCGTCCAAGGTTCCACAAACCCTTTCCAGGGACAATTGGCTGTAGGTCAAAGACAGGTACCCAAACTGTATCCCTGACTAAAACCTGTGCTCCATATCCTGGTGGTTTGATTTTGACCAATATCCAATTACGAACCCCCTTCCAAGAGGCTTCAAAGAAACATTGTTGGGAAACGGTTGGGTGAAGGCCAAAGTCGTAATTGCCCAATAAATGCGAGCAACATGCCAGTCAAAGCTTGCCTGGATGAAAAAACATGGGTGAACAAGGTTTCCGCATTGAATTTGTCATCTGTGTCAATATATACATAAATATGTGTATAACACTTGTATATGGAAGGACTTTACAATGTCATATGAATGTAATTGCTGGTCCATATCCCGCATTGCCCTGAGCAAGTTCAGTTCGAGCCTGGTTCGGATCTGCCACTTCTCAGAGCCAACTTGCACGACATCCCTCCTTTTTCGCACACCCAGAGAGAGAGCACCGGTGCAGTGTTTTCAGTTGCAAGTTGCGAGTCTTGCAACTGATGTTGCGTGTTGTGCCGTTCGACACGCCAGTTTCCAGCAGGTTGTTGAACTGGAAGCGCATTTGAGGTTGTTCCAAACTGCTTCATGTTGGCAGACAGCCAACAGTGACAGTAAACCTGCCTGCACAATCCCTAAGCATCACGTGAATACTCTGCCCAGTACGTACTTGCACTGAATACCACCTTGATTTGGTCGTTCGGCGCTGCATGGCTATCCCACAAAGGTTATGGACGCGAATGTAAAGAACCCAGCAGGTCCTGGGCAGCTTGTGCAAACCAAGCAAAACGTGAGTGGCCATGTCAGTGTGCAGGAGTGCATGGATTCAAAGTATGAGTGGCTGGTTGAATGCTTCGGATGTCCCTTCAATCTATTCTCCAGGTGCCGATGAAGAAGCCGGCGGCCAGAGCCGAGCCAAAGGCGAAGGCCGAGCCCAAAGCGAAGGCCGAGCCCAAAGCGAAGGCCAAGGGCGGCGCGAAGGCCAAGGCCAAGGCCAAGGCGAGACAATTCCTCACGGCGCCGTTGAGTCCTGACTTTTCAATTTCGAGGTGAGGAAAGTACGTGCATTGCAAAATATATTCTTTGTAGAACACATATAGTACCGGGGGCTAGCAATATCTGTATGTATATATGTATAGTATATATATATATTGATTCACATATTGATACAGTGTGTATGGGAGAGTCGTCCAAAAGGTCCTTGTATTCAAATATATTATGGGCGCGACCTTTTGGTCTCAGTGTTGCCCCCCCCTCTCCGCGATGGTGGTCGCGATTTATTTCCTCGAAGATAGCGCTTTCGGAGACAAGAAGCTTCAGACAGACGCCATATATATATATATATATATTAAACATAATTACAGGCTTCAATGGGAACAAGCACTCTGTTTGGATCCTGTTTCTTGTCCAGGGGCTCCCCTATTAATTTTGAGGCAAACCGAAAGCGCGAAAGGGAGCCTGGCCGGAAGAATGGCCCGCACAAAAAGAACCACCTACCATCCGCGGGATTAGGCGGAGGCAGAAAAAGAGGAGGCAGAGGAGAAGGAAGAGGAGGAAGACGCTGCAGAAGAGGAAGAAGAGGAAGAAGAGGAAGAGGAGGAAGAAGAGGAGGAAGAAGAAGAGGCCAAGACATGTCATTGATAGCAACACAGGCATTCGGCAAGCATGTTGCCTTGCACTGTTGAACTGGCCATGCGGCATGTTTGGAGGGTGAATGTGCTTCAAGCCTGAGTCTCTGAGCAGGGCTCCTTAAAAGATACATTTTGCAACCATGCGAACCATGTTGTTTTTTCCACACCAAAATAAAGGGAAACCAGCCATTTACAAGTTGCAATGTTCAGGAGTTTTTCATGTACGGATCCCTGCTGAGCTTCTTCGATCGAGTGACCGCAAAAATTCTGGCCGAGCCAATGATCCATCAGTCTGCCAGGAGGAGGAAGACGCAGAGGAAGATGAGGAGCTGCACTTTTGACTTTGCTTTCTTGTGTGCCTTCCACCCAAGAAGTCCCAAACTAGTTGGGATAGCGGACTGGCAGGCCTACCTTAGTGGAGAGTAAAGTTGTAAGCACGAGCATGACCTTAGTTTCGCACTTTATTGAAGCTTTGGCTGCTCAACAGAATATCCTCCACCGGCATGTTGTGTTGTTTTCTTGCGGGCTGCTCGATTGCACAAGCTCCATCTTGAGCAGACACGGCACGCCGATGTTGCTGATTGGATCAAGGCCACTACTTGTTTTGTCATGTTTCAGAAGGCGATGAGAGGAATTATTTCTGCTTCTCCATGTACACATCCTTTGTTTGCAGTCCTTTCATATTCGGCCAGAATCTGAGAGTCCAACAAAAACGTGTAACTTGATTTTAGTTTGCCGGTGGTTGGTTTTGGGTTTGGGATCACAACGTGCATCCGAAAATTCCGACTCACTGCTCCATGCTGGTCTTGTCAAGTCGCCCTCAGGAGATGGAAGATGCTCCCGTGATGAAGAAACCTGCAGCAAAGGCAAGCCGCCCGTGGGTAGGTTGTGCCAAGGTCATGTAGTATGCCCACCCCTTGAGCAGTGGATTTATCTGGATAGGGGAGAGGCATTGGACCACCTTGCTTCTTTGTCCTGAATCCAGCAGCATGTTTTGCCTTGGGTGCAGTTTGGTCTTCCTCGTGTCCTACGTGGAGCTGCGTTTATGTTAGATCAGGTCAACCCAATCATCTTGATTTGTCAAGGACAGGCATTGCCTTTGGCGTCCTTGCCAGCATCAGATCTGGGAGAGGTACACGTGGGAAGCTCTCAGATGCAGTTGCCCTCTTTGTCAAAGCAAGCATGTCGTGCGCTACACAAGATAACTCTATCTACGATTTTAGTAGAGTAGTATGTCACATGCGCCAGCGCAATGATGTGTATGTCATCCGTTCTTGAACTGTGGAAGATCGACAAGGCTTGCTGGTTTCTTTTCTTTTTTGTATGGTGTGTCATCAACGTTTGACTTGCGCGTTTGTTGACTGGGGACTTGCGGGTTTGAGCCACTTGCACACCGCGCCCACCACTTTTGCGAGCGAGATGTTACTCTCCTGACACACGGAGCCCCAAGAGGTCATTGGCGGATTACTTTTTTGGCGGAACTCTTTTTTTACGGATAATAAGTTTGAACACTTCAGAGATGTATATGTATGACAGATTGTGGTTTAGACCCCGTGTATCCTTGCGCTTTGCCTAACTTTGCTTTTACGCGCAGAGAAGTCTTTGGCAAAAAACATCTGGGCATGGACCGTTTGCTCTTCGCCAGAGCCCTGCAGTGCAGAGGCATCTCCAAAGAAGGCAGCTGGAAAGGCCTCAGCATCTCCAAAGAAGGCCTAGGGGAGGATCCAGAGGCATTTGAAGCAGACGGGCCCCATTTGAAGAGGAATAGCCTTAGCAACCCCACGGTGGGTTTCATGTCTTTCTTGCGGGAGCCCTTCACTTAACGTACGAGGCTGAGCGTTGTACTGTCCATTCGGGTTGCATTAGAGTCGGTTCATTTGGGTCCAAGGCCAGTGATTGCCAGCCTGTTTTCGGAGCTGCATATGTCCTTTTGCCTTGGTGCGCAGAAAGAAGACCAAATGATGTGACCAAATGATTTGCGCACTTGACCAAATGATGTGACCGGATGCGGGGACGTTTGCATCTTGCGGTCGTGCGGTCCTGCGGGTGCTTCTCGCCATGACGCGGTCACGGTATTGTCAATTCTCCAAACCGTCGGACCTTTTGACCTCCTGGTGAACCTACTGTAGATGCACCACCTAAGCAACCCTGGTTTCTGATGATTCCCCTAAAAATACCAACAAATACTGGTTTCCCATGGTGTCAAGGTGGTGCAGGATGTCGTCCATCCACAGTATGTCACCGGCAACAGGTGATTTGCTCATGGGTCCCATTGGGGGAGACGAGGGTGTCACACCCTAGGCGGCGAAGGCAAAGGCTTCGCCCGCGAAGCCCAAAGCGAAGGCCAAGGCGAAGGCGAGGGCATTGGGCTTGCGCGAGCGAGCGCAGCGCCACGGATGTTGTGTTTTTCGTTGGTTTCTCTCTCCCCCAGCTAGGTGCCCTTTCTCATCGTTTCTTGTTTTGGCTGGGAGGGTTCCCCTACTAAAATAGACTACAGAAGAAAGGGTGCCGTTATTCGATCCTCTCTACTGGAGGACCTAGGTTTGTTGGAACATAGATGGGTGTCTTTCTTTTGAGGAACATTGTGGTTGTCCTTCTGGTTTACGTTTAAGACCACGGAGAAAGGGTACCTGCAAAAAGAAAAAGTCACCTAAATAGGTTGTCCACCTCTCGAGGAATTCATGTTGATTCAACGACCACGGCCCGAAGGGATGTGTTCACAAGCGGTGCACCTTGCTGCAGATGTCGCTTCCTGAGGTCCTCACTTTGTACCTTTTTGGGTGTGGACCCATTTTAGTGATAAAAAAGAACCTGGAGTCTCCATGACCCTTTAAAAATGGTTGGTCATTACCCAAAATCATGGGGTCGTTGACCCATTTTTAAGGGATCATGGAGACTCCAGGAAGTTTGGACCTTGTTTGGGCCATCCACTCGGGAAGTGAGATATTTTATGCAGCAATTTGAGGCCACCTTGTAGTGAACCTACACGTTGAGGGGGCAGCGGATGTCTGGGAAATGTTTTCGCGGACTGGCTCACCACGGTGCCAAGCGACTGGTTTCACGAAAGTGAAGGGAACACCTGCTTGACTCCCAGTGCTTTTTGGGGGTTGAATTGAGTCAGCGTTTCCATCTCTGGGTCAAGAACGGAATGCCCCGAACAGGCCGGCAAAACATGTTGGGCGTCAATGACCTGTACGTCGAATTTGTTCGAATGCTCGGGCGTGAGGGATCTAAATTAAGTTGCAGTGCTGCAACTGGACACCAAAGTAGGGAGGGGTGCCTGCACATGGATGGAAAGGTCAAGGTGTCGTGCTTATCAGTGTATCCCTCATCGCCTTTTAGGTCAGCCACAAATACATGGACCAAGTGTACAGTGAATGTCATGTAGCGTATGTTCGGCGGGCAACACACGCCGCAGTTGACATGGTCTTGAGTACATAATTATTTGCGTGCTTTACAGCAAATTGTTGTCTGGCCTTTGAAATCTGCTGTAAAGTAGAGGCTGCCGGAAGAGCCATCGCACGTGCCATTGGCCTCACCGCCTCATCACCTGTCTATGGCACAGCTTCTTTCTCATGCGGAGTTTGTACCTAGAGTCTCCATGACTTTTCAAAAATGGGTGATTGATTTCATGATTTTGGGTATATAATGACCAACCATTTTTGAAGGCTCAGAAGGAGTCTCCAGGTATACGGATATGGATATGGCGCCCATTTTTTGGGAGACTCCAGGTCGATTTTTGCTAAAGGCCCCCCCTTTTGGGTGAGCGCCTGGCTTTCGACAGGCGAAAGCCAAGGCGAAGGCGAAGACTGCGAAGGCGCTTTGGCCACGAGTTCGCGGCTTGCGGATTTGCACCGGGAAGCTCTAGGACAACCCTAAGACGTGAGCATGTTGCGGGTTCTGAAAGTTACTTTTGCGGTGATTTCGAGGTTGTCGCGCTCCCAGCTTTTATTTCCCTGTGCTCCGCTTCTCTCTCACTCTCTGCTTTTCTGCCCATCATTGGCTCCGCTCCTCTGCCCAGTCTTTGCTCCGCTCTTTTCTTTGCTCTTCTGCCCACTTCGCGCTGCGCTCTTCTCTTCGCAATCTTCTCTGAATCTCCATTCCAGCTCTTCGCTTGGCTTTTCTCTGCGCTCTACCTACTCTGTCTGCCCTTCCCTCCGTTCTTCTCTCCATTCTGTTCCGCGCTCTGAACAAACTTATGTGCTCTGATTGCGCTCTGCAGCGTTTTTTGCGCATCGTTCCTCGCAATTTCTTCCTCCGTTCTGAGGACGCAGGGCTGTTCAAGCGCTTTGGCCATAGGTGTCCTTTTTGGTTGGTTTGCTTAGAAAATAGAGGCCGGGCGATTCTTGGTATACCTGGTGGTTTCATCATCTACCAGTGAAACCCATCTCTTTGCCCCAAAAAGGACACCTATGGCTTTGGCGGTGTTCTGTTTTTCTCGTTTCGGCTGCTTCCCTGACGAGCCGGCGTCGCCCTGGCTTTCACTCGAGCTTTCGTTGGCCTTTGCCTTAATCAATTTGAGGCCGGACATCGCCTTTGGTCGCAGGCAACGATGACATGCCGCAGCCTCTGTTTCTGAGTATCACTGTAGTATCCTAAGTTTGATCGATCGACCCAATCGTTCGCTGCTAGTGAGAGGAGCAGAAAACTAGGGCCTCCAACTGAAATAGATTTATGTTCCTCTTCATCCGATTCTTCTGAGTTTGGTGCTCCTGAGCACTGCTCGCACTTTGCGTTATGCTTACTTAGTACTGACGAAAGCCCCGTCATGGTAAGTGTTCGAATCATTTGGGTGTCTTTTTTGAGGCTACCCTTTTGGGATGCTGTAAAGGGGAACCAAAAGGACAACCACCAGTTCCTACCGGCATTGCCCGCAAAGTCAGGCGGTCCTAAAGAGACCTGCAGCCAGAAAGTGAGGCGGGGCGTGACAAGTTTGTTTCTCGATTTTTGCTGATACAGCACTTGGCGGACTACCTGACTTCCGGTTTTGTTTCTTTCATGACGATGGAACTCCCCCCCACCTTGGTTTATCCAGAAATCAAAAGCACCAGCACCATTTGTGGGGTTCCCCTATCTTGACAGGCGAGCAAATTTAGGGCCGCCGGGACTTCAACTTTGGTGCATTTCGCCAAGGGTTGTTAGGACTTCAACTTTTTGCCAGTTGATGGGTTTTCCGTATTAAACCACTAAAAGTTATTCACTTTTAGCAGGGGAGCAGCAAGCAACCGAGTCGATGTGTGGGTTTTGAGCTGCCGGAAGTTCATTCTGCTGGCATTCTGCCGGCATAGTTTGATCGAATGCCATGCTAGGTCGCCCAGCTAGGTGCCCAACTTTTACCGTTCCTTTTTTGGTTGGGTTCCTCTACTAAGATAGAAAAAAATGGTACCCTTCTTCTAACCTCTCTACTGGAGAACCTAGCATGTGCTTTCCTTGGAGCGCAACCATGAGAGAACGGACCAAATAGGAAATACTTGACTTGTCAGGCTTGTTTTCAACTCGTGCGCAACTATCAGCCGGGGCAACGCTTGCTTTGATTCTTGTCAGGGGGGAAGCTCCTCGTTGTCAAGGGTGAGCCTTTGCAACGGCTGGGACAGTGCATTGAGCACTGTGAGGGCATTCTCGTCTGCATCCCAAGGGGCACGAGACGCGCGGGCTCTCCGAATTGGGGTTGGAGAGTTCGCTGAATCGATGCGCTGGGGGAGACAATGTATGAACCGAATTGGCAAACCGAGCTCGAAACTTCCAGCAATTTGCTCGGGAATCAAAGTGAGCAAGTTCCCTTCCAGGAGCACTTGTTGTTGTTTTTTTGTTGTTTTTGCGAAGAGCCCATGGACATTTCGCTACAGAAGTACTTGCAACAAAAGAGACTCTTGCTGTGCTGCAAGCAATGCTAAAAGCATTGCCATGAAGCTTGGACCTCCCCCAGCGCCTCCGCCGAGCAGAGTTTTGCGCGCCTGCTCTGTGCAGAAAGTGCGGAATATCATTGTATATGGCGTTAACGATAGACTTAAGCGCGGACGGATTGAAACGAATAAAAGCTGATGAGAGGTGCGTTTCAGGCTGCACCCGTTCTGGTTGAGCCTCAGGGCCTTTGGAACACCCGATGGACTACGCCAAAAATGGGCCAAACACCTGGAAAAAAGGTGGTTTCTGCAGAGAACCTCTGGTGCATTTTGCTTGCATGTTAGGACTTTGACTTGTTGCCAACTAATTTGGGTTTTCCGTATTAAACCACTAAAAGTTATTCACTTTGAGCAGGGGAGCAGAAAGCAACCGGGGTAGGGTTTTTGTCGTGCTTGGTTGCTTGAAGGTCAGCTCCGGCCCGATAACTCAATATGTGCGCTGTTCAGTGTGAAGCACATGCATGAAGCTCCGTCTGGCAGCTGTTTATGCAAGCTATACATCGAGCAAGGGTCTATGACTGCAGTAGATTGATCAAATAATTTCATGCAAGTTCAAGTCTGATCTCAAAACGCTAGACCAAGCAACGTGCGTCTGTCCCAGGCCATGCGGCGACTTGTTTGTTAGTTGTATCCGGGAGCAAAGCTCGGCTGTTGATTGCACAGGAGCGAGTTTGCCTTTGACAACTGCAGCAGATCAGGATCTTTGCCCGAGAGCGGCAACTCAAGAACATCGCTTGACATGCACATGGCCTTTTCCAATGGTGCTGACATCTGCGTCCAGCAAGGGGCCGCTCGACCTGGAGTATGCTCAGCGGAGTCATGTTTTGTTCCGCTGGTTTGGCCCGTTTACGCACCTGCCCAAAACGACCGCTGCCTCGTGTGGGTAGTTTGCTCCCAAAGGACTAGGAGCAGATGGGGCTTTTTGAATCCGCAGGCGATTGGTACCTGGATTGGCATGGATTTGAACCCCACGTCCTCAAGCCATGCAGACGGTACCCCTTAAAATCCGAGCCACCAAACCAGACCACCAATTAGGGGTAAGATGATAAATTGTGAGAAGTGATCGGGAGGCTTGACTTTGGCCAGGCCCCCCAGTAGTGCTTGTTTACCTTTTTTGGGGGGGAGGGTTCCCCTACTCAAATGGCTGTGAGTCAAAACCAATGGTACCATTTTGGGGAGGTGCACCACCCATGTTAGTCTATTTTAGTGGGGATGGGGATGTTCACTGGGGGTACGATTTGGATTTTGACCCATGGCCAAATAGACAAAAAAGAAACAAGTTGGTACCAACTTATTCTAACCTCTCCACTGCACATGTCTCTTGACTCACAGTGAGGTGTCGGCTTAGATTTCCCCGAAATCTCGGTTCGTGGCCCTGGAGAGCAGACAGGGGGCTCTAGTCTTTACTTGAGGACACCCGTTTTTGTTGGGTTGGTTTAAAGGGAAACCACAAGAAACATATTACCAGTTTTGGAGGCTCCGGGGTGCCCCTGGTTTCAAGACCAACAAAAGTTTCTAACAACAGTGGATCCAAAGATCATGTCATGCCGTTGACAGAAGGAACAATACGCTTCCCACGTGCAGAAATATCCACTGGATGTATGTAGTGCTCGCGTTGTGGTCGGGTCCGAAAGCTGTCGGACGCCTTTCGTGGCTTCCATTCGCTCGCGTTTTTGGGCGAGCGCGCTGAGGCTCTCCCTGTCGAGCCTTCGCCGGATCAGGGCTCTTTGGAAAGAGGACCTACTGGAATCGAGGGCAATAGTGCTGCGTGTGTGTGTGTGTTGACTTGCGGGTTGGTTTAAAGCTACTTTAAAGGTGTATTGACTTGCGGGTTGGTTTAAAGCTAGTTTGAGGGTTGGCCGGAGTAGCCGCATTAGACTCGCTGTCGCTCCGTTGCAGGCCCAGGACATAGCTGTTTACAATGCGATTCATTGGTTCGGTGAAGCGGAGTTTTCGGCAAGCAACAGCATAGCGAAGTTCTGTCCTGTTGGCTATCCTCTTTTGCAAGCATCAATTTGCCGGGGATCCTTAGAGTTAACGGGGAGCAACCAAGAAAGAAGGGAGGGCAACGTTGCTGGCTTGAGGATTGATTCCAAGGGTGTGGCTTTCATCTCAAGCAAGCAAGCTGAACGAACTGCACAGATGTGTTGCCCCCTGAGGCTGGGACCCTATTCGGGAAGCCTAAGCGCACGGGCAACGGTGGTTTCAACGACGAAGGCAGCCGTCAATGAAACAAGTAAAACACCTGAGAAGAGGACAGCTTGCGGAAGACATGTTTTTTTTGTTGGCAAGGGTTTCCTGATTGAAACCAAGTGTGATGCACCGCTATTACTGTTCCAAGATGAAACTGTTGCTTTGAGAACTTGTGACAAGCAAGGCCGGCCCGTCATCTCATGTTGAATCTTGTGTCGGCTGTTGAAGCAACGTTGACAGAGATCAGGCTGTTTAACAGTCCCTTGATCTCATTGGCTGTGTCAGTGACTTTGATTCCTTTGATTTGAATTGAGAGGAACATCGTTTGACCTACCCTCCCACCAATTAACATGGAACCTGACAGGGCGTCCCTTCAAAATGAAAACGGTCTTCCAGGACCCCCCTGTCAGGTTCCATGTGAATTGGTAGGAGGGTATAGCGTTGGCCAAAGCGGAGTAGCCATGCGCATGGTCCTGACTGATCAAGTTGCTATGCCCAGATCGTGGTCTTCTTTAATTGGATGCACGGCTCATGTTGGCCCATTGGCGGTAGGGAAATATCCAAGGCTGCTGTTGCTATTGCTATCTTGAATCGATATGTGTGTGTGTGGCTATTGTTTGGTGGGAGAGCGCCAAAGAGAACCTTGCTCCAAGGCTTTGAAGCACCACCAAGGGTCGAAACTTGCTTTGGTTTCCTTTGCTTCCATTTGCGGAAAGGAATATGTTAATGTTTTTCCTGTTGGCTTGAAATCTATCACTTCTGGACATAGTATATATATATATACGTGTATATATATATATATATTCCCCTCAGGGGACTTCTCGGCAAATGGAGGTTTGGTCGTCAAACGTCCTTCGATCGAATGACGTTTAGGAGGTTCAGACCATCACCCTGAAAGAGCTTTGGGGCGTTCGGGCATGGCAGCTGGACCATCCCCAGGCACGCGCAAATCAAAGTGCTTTCTGTTCAGTGGCACGAAGCAAAAAGCTGGATCCAGTATGAACCCCACCTTTTCTCTCTTCCTGCGTCCCTGGACTTTAGCCACTGTTTGGGAGCCCTAAACCCTACACCCTGGCAAGAACCTTTGTTGCTTAGTTTTGTTTAAAACATGGCTTTATTAAAAGCAACAAGCGCAAGATGGACATTTTTGGGGCCATCCACTCGGAAAGCGAGCACCTTTTTTACCGCCAGAGCCATGGGCGTTCTGCAGCCCACCTGGCCTTTGGATGTTGCGAGTGAGAGTCTGTCTCCTTGGATCTGCTCAATGGGTATGGGTCAAAATGAAACCGCCAGGAATTGGACCGCAGGTTTTAGTCCTTGCTTCCATTTACCAGGGTTCTAATTTGGGGTTACCCTGTTTGTGACATGTTGCTTGGTGGCTCCCAGCCATCCGGTTCCTTAGCTTTTTAGCCTTTTAGGTTCCTTAGCTTTTTAGCCTTTTAGTGATTTAGTGCTTGGTTGTTTCCATTTAACCCACCAAAGGTTAATCTTTTAGCGGGGGATCTGAGGGCAGCCCAGGTTGGTGTTCTCAATATGGTGAGACTGTCTCCTCGATCTCATGTTGGTGATCTGTCTCCTTCGATCTGCCCCTTAGACTGTTTCCTTCCCTGTTGGTTTGGAAGGGAATTACCCTCCCACCATGCTTACGGCTGGAACCTGACAGGGACCCTGTCCCTCTAAAGAGACTATGGTCGTCCAAGACACCCCCCTGTCAGGCTGTTACTTGGTGGGAGGGTATCCCCTTTCTGGATCTTTTGCATGCCCCCAAATTTTGTAAAGGTTCCTACTCCCTTTTTGTTTGGGGGTTTGGGACCTATTCTCACTTCTGAGTTGCTGGACTTCACACTTTTTGGTTGCGAGCATGTTAGTGGCAACCACACAGTTTGGACTCTTTCTGGCCAACTCACTTAGGAAGTGGGCATGAGGAATGGCTACTTTCGCGCTGGAACCGTGGCACTTTGTTGTTCTGCGCTACATTTTGCTGCTGACACTTGTCAACTGTTTCCGGTTGCACACCTGCGTGACAAGGACCCCGTTACACCTCCGTAGCAAGATAGATACGTGCCATTGCGAGTTACATACCCTCCGCAAGACTCAGCCATACACGTAGAATATATATATATATACATATGTGTTTTCACGCGTGATTGCCCAAACAACAAGCTCGCAAGACTAGCCTGCCAATCACAAAGCTATTGTCCAAAAATGCCATTGGTAAACGCACCCAGCAATTGATTCCCTTTAAAACAGGACGGAATATGGTTGATGGCATGAGGTGAAGCAAACCCGCACATCCCTGGACCCAACAAGTTTGGCTTGCAGTTGGTGCCTGCCTTGGTATATGGTTGAGTCTCGGTCATGTCATGCGTGAATGACCTCATTTGGACAGCGCCGTGTTGTCATTTGCTAAACTTTCGAGGGAGGCCACTCATGGGCATCTCTTTTGAAGTACGAGGGATCAGGAAGCTGGATGCAGCGCCAATCATGAGATCAGTTTTGCCCATTGTCATCCTCGGATGTTGTTTGCGGACTGTCACGTTCCATTCCTTTTCGAGCTTCCTGAACTGGGGACTATGCTTGTTGACGGGAGTCCTGCTCACTCACGCGAGATCCTGAAAGCTACAGGTTGCGTCCCA